TTGGCATTGAACTGCTTTTGTTTGTGGGATTTTAGAGTGCCCCCCCCAACACACACACACCTAGTTTTAGATACTTCTGAAAATGGAGCGTTCCCAAGATTATTGACACATCAGACTTGATAATGGATGGCTCAAAAATTAATTATCAAATTCTCCCAAATGTTGGAATTTTCAAATTTGTGATTCTGATGTTAATTTTGCATGTGAGATTGCTGGTATTCCTTGTCCATTTTGATTGTAGCAGGCATCCAAAATAGAACTCAGTTGTCATATGCTAAATATTATTATAAGCCTTCTGACAAATGCTATCAAATTCTTAAATCACATTACATGTAAGCTATCAAACACTAGCCAGTGATGTACACTATTGCATTTCAACAACCAAATATAATTCACATCAAATAGTGTGTGCGCCCTTCTGTGAGCAGAATAAATTAAGTAAAACATATGCAAATTTGCTCAGTTTGCATCATTTATGCAGGATATTCAGTTTGCATTTGCTGGTGCAAGATACAGAGTTTTACATATGAGTATTCTGCAAAGTAGAGCACATGTAGTTACTTTTGGTGTAAATAGTGATTATATTTATGTTTTTATTTTTTGTTCAGCTCTTCTGAAAACACTGTGACTAGAAGTTAAATAGAAAGCTCTGGTATTCCTTGGTGGAAAAAATAGCACTGCCAGTCACAAAAACTGCATTTCATCTGCATTTCCTTCCCTCCTCCTTCCTTTGTATTATTTTTTAGATGAAGCGCTGGAGGAAAATATACACATTTTTGATGACACACTGTCTGGATTTCAGTTTCCTTTTGAATTGGTTCCAAAGCTTTTGAAGCTAACAATTCTTCCAAATTTATTATAGCATTAAAACTCTATAATATCAGAGAAGTGTTGCTTGGACTGAAAATCTTGGATCTGTAACAGTGAGCAAATTGCAGAATTAAAACAAAACACCACAGTGATATTATCAGATCTCAGTCATTGTTGCTTTCTCCAAAATGGACTTACAACTCTTATTACTTTCTTCACTAACATGGCCAGTGCTATCATTTTCTTTGATCTGTACATCATATTTCTGTTGATGCAGCCTAAGATTGCATTTGTTTTTTGCCACTGCATTGCACAACTGCTCATGTTTAGCATCACTAGGGGATGTGGGGGCTGTAAACCACACCAGGTAACACCCTGAGGGGGGTGACACCACTGCTCCTCAAACACCTACCTTTTGACAGAATTGGGCTGTGGCATTCATCTGCTTCCCTTTAAAATGCTTTAAGAGATGGTGTGAGTGAAGCTCAATGGGAGAAGAAAGGAGAGCCCCAGGGTTGTTTAAAATTAATATCTTAACATTTAATTTTTTTAATTATTTTTTTAAAAAAATTAAAAAATATTCCTTTTAAATTTTATTTTAAAATATCACATTTTAACCAAATCTTCACTATGAATATGTAAATACATTTAGGTTGTGCATATGATATTGTAATTCAAAAGTATGATTTTAATTTTGCTAGCTGTTTATGTCACATTGCTAGTTGTTTATGTCATGATTGCAAGATCAGCAGGTTGGAAGTTCAAGGCCTGGATGCTGCTTGATGGGGTAAGCTCCTGTCACTAGTCCCAGCATCTGCTAACCTAGCAGTTCAAAAGCATGCAAATATAAGTGGGAAAGTAAACAGCGTTCTGTGCAATCATGCTGGCCACATGATCACAGAGTAGTCTCTGACAACGATGGCTCTTCAGCTTAGTAACGGAGATAAGCCCCACCCCATACAGTCAGACACAATTTGACAACCTTGTCAACGGGGAATACCTTTAACTTTTACCTTTACCTTTACTTTATGTCACAACTATTAGCATGGCATTCAGTGGTATATGGGAATGATGACTGATGAATAACATTAGTGCAAAAAAGCATTACTAAGGATTCTGTATGGTGTGAAATGGGATGAGGAGGTCATGGGGGGGTGACACCATGAGGGACCACACCAGGTGACACCAACCCTAAGGATGCCACTGAGGTTTACTAATGCTAATGGTGGTGCAGTGGTTAAATGCCATACTGAAGCCACTTACTCACAGTTACAAGGTCAACCTTCCAAGGTCTCCAAAATGAGTACCCAACTTGTTGGGGGCAGTTAGCTTAAACATTGTAAACTGCTTAGACAGGGCTTAAGCACACTGTTAAGAAGTATATAGAAATATATTTGCTGTTGATATTGTTATGTCCACTAAGACCCAAGATCCTTTCCCTCATTCTATATTTGTACATCTAAATGAGTTCCAAAACATCTGGGTTTCCCTCACGCATACATGGTATCTTATATTATCCCTTTTGAAGTTCATTTGTTTTTGTCCATTTTTCTAATCTGTCAAGGTCATCTCAAATCCTAATTCTTTCTTTTGAATTATAAGCTACCCCTCCCAGTTTGACATCATGTGCAAATTTCATAAACACCCCTTCTGCTCCTTCATCCAACATCAGGCACTTGTCAGTTTTCTCCAGGACAGCAAGGAAACACTGCTGAGCATGCTTTGGGTATATTCCATCAACCAATAACAAATCAACCTAACATTAACATCGTGTAGCCCACATTTTACCAACATGTCCATAAGAACATCATTGGGGATCTTGTCAAAAGCCTTACTGAAATTAGAACTACATCCACAGCATTCCTCTGGTCTACCAAGCTTGGAACTGAAAGAAAGTTGTATTATTAGTCCTGAATGACTTGTTTTTGTAGTGTTTTGTAATCAGAGCATTCTTTTCTAAGTGCTCACAGACCAACAATTTAATGATCTGTTCTAAAAGCTTTCCTGGTATCGATAATATCCTGGTATCGATAATAAGGGATCTTGCAGCACTACGACAGTGTGAACTTTAATAGACTTAAGCCTACTTCTGAAAAAGTAGGATCAAGTCCATGAAAGTTCATACTACCAACTTCTATCTTTCAGTTAGTCTCACAGGTACTGCAGGATCCCTCTCAAAGATGCTGCAAGATCCCTTTGCATAATGATTAGCCAGACTAACACGTCTATGGAGATTATCGCACTAGCTTTGCTGCCAGGATAGACCTGGGATTTAACTTTCTTAAGGTGGATCTTACTGCATTCACTCATTGCCAGGCAGCATGCAGGCCATATGCAACTTCTCTCGCAGATTTTCAAGAACAGAATTTTCCCAGAAAAAGTCCACAGAAGCCTGGTTGAGTATGGTCTGCATATTGACCAGCGATGAGAGAATGTGATAAGATTCACCTTAAGAAAGTTACATCCCAGGTCTATCCCGACAGGGAAGCTAATGCGATCAACTCCTATGTCTTTGAATGGTATTGATCATGACATCCTCTTTTTCTCCATTTTGAAGAACATTGGTCCGCCTCCAAACTTGCAGATGACGAGGTTTGAAGGCACCCATTTTTTCCCAAAGCATTCTCAAAGATTATAGGCAGACGCTCTAGGATTACATCTGCAAAGTCCTTTAGTACACTTGGATGTAGTTCTTCTGGCTTTGGATACTTGAATTCATTTAAAGTAGCTAGAGCCAGCATGGTGTAATGGTTTGAGCCAGGGGTAGGCAGCCTTTCCCCTTTAAGGGCCAAGGGACTTCAGCTCCCAGAATCCCAGAAGCTACTGGCCAACATGGGACTATTGGCCAACATGGCTGAGGTTTCTGGGAGCTGAAGTCCCTCGGCCCTTAAAGGGGAAAGGTTGCCTACCCCTGGTTTGAGCATTGGTCTGTGACTCTGGAGATCAGAGTTCAAATCCCACCTTTGCTGAGGAAACCCACTGGATGTCCTTGGGCAAGTCACACTCTCTAGTCTCAAAGGATGGCAATGCCAAACCCTCTCTGAAGAAACCTACCAAGAAAAACAACTTGAAGGCACAAAACAACAACTACAGCTATGTGTTCCATACACTCTTTAGCAATCTTGGGCAGCAGCCCTCACACTATCATATACTTTGTTATCACACTACACAATAACAGCGTTATATGCCAATGGAACATGGAAACCCATTGAATGACCTTGGGCAGATGACACTCTTTCAGCCTCAGAGGAAGGCAATGGAAAACCACCTCTGAATATATTCTCCCCCCCCCCAAAAAAAAACATGATAGGGTCACCGTAAGTCAACAATAACTTGAAGGCACACAGTAACAATTCCACTTTAACTGCCATGGCACCATCCTGTAGAATCCTAGAATGTGCAGTTCTCAAAGGTACTGCTGGAAGGGACATTTGGAATTATTGGGCACAGTGATCCAGTGTGTCAAGAAACCCACAAGCCCCAGGATTCCACAGAATGTTGCCATCACAACTAAAATGGAATTTAGGGGGGTTGCAGACTGCCAGAAATAATGCAAATTGAGTCCACTTTTAGGGTTAGGGTTAGGTTTAGGGAATCATGGGAACTGTATTTTATTGTGGCACCAGAGTTCTCTAACAGAGAAGGCTCAATGTCTCAGAACAAAAACAATTCCCATGATTCCCTAGCACTAACCCTAACCCTAAAAATGGACTGAATTTGCACTATTTCTGGCAGTCTGCAACCCCCCATAGTGCTATAACAGTGTGGTGTGAAAAAGGCCCAATTGGATCCATCTTTCCCTTTGGGCAAAGTTAAGCATTCAGCTTCTTCTCCACACAGTGGACCTTCTGTTTCCTTGTTCTACCTCTTGCTCTGAACATAGCCAAAGAAAGAAAAAAAGAAAGAACCCATTTTTGTGTTATCCTCAACATTCCTTGCAAGATCGAGCTCATTCTGAGCTTAGGCCCTTCTGACCTAATCCCTGCCAATATTGGCTTCTTCTTGTTGTTGTGTGTCTTTAAGTCATTTCTGACTTACAGCAAACCTAAGGTTTTCTTGGGTTTTCATGGGGTATCATGGCAAGGTATCATGAGGTTTTCTTGGTAAGATTTGTTCAGTGGAAGTTTGCCATTGCCTTCCCCTGAGGCTGAGAGCATGTGATTTGCCCAAGGTCACCCAGTTGGTTTCTATGATTGAGCAGGGAATCAAACCCTGGTCTCTAGAGTCACACTCCAACACTCAAACCATTGCATTACTCAAAGTGTTTCTTTGTGATCCCCCCCCCCCCGTTTTTTACATTTCTGGTATTGTTCAGTATATCATTGATTACATCTTTATTGTTGGCTGTTGATATTTGTGGAAACCAGTTTGGTAAATCTATCCTAAAAGCAGTCTAGAAATACATGTAATAAATCAAATTACCCCCCCCCCAAAAAAAACATCCACAACTCCCCCCCCAAAAAACCAGCATTAAACTGTCTCATGATGATTACTATTAGCCTTAAAAAATCTGTTAGAGTCCAAACCTTGCCTTCTTCCCTTACTTTATAGTTAGCACAATTGAAAGGAAAATTAACCGAGCATTCATGCATGCTTAATCCGTAGTATGTTATTGTGATTTCAGTAGAGATGACTTGCAGGTAAGTGGATATAGAATCCCCCATACCCACTTGTATGATAGTAAAAATTACTGAACATAATTGGTTTTACTGCTGAGTTGTCATGCAGAAGAGCTGGCATGGTATATTGATTTGAGTATTGGGTCAGGACTCTGGGAGAAGAGTTTGAATCTCCATTTGGTTATGGAAATCCACTGGGTAATCTTGGCCAAGTCACATTCTCTCAGCCTTAGAAGAAGGCAAATACAAATCTCCTCTGAACAAACCTCATGATAGATTTGGCAGAGGGTCATTATAAGTCAGAAATGGCTTGAAGACACACAACAAATAATATTGTGCTGTAAAACTACTTTGAGTTTCAGTAAGTCTCTGCTGTGCCCCACAAAACTTTGGACATCCATCAAGCACAAGGCAGTGGGTCTGGTTTAAAAGCTGAAAAGGCTTTTCTATTACTGTTCTGTAAGAGTGATTGCACTCCAGGGAACATCTGGAATCTGGTCATGCATGACTACTGTCACTAATACTACTATGTACATTTCTTTCAGCAAAAGATGAAGAAACATCATGACTATATGTCACAGCCAGGAGTTAATGATAAGCAAGAAAAATAAGGATTTATTTATCTGTCATTTTCAAGTTACTCAGCAAAAATATGCAGATGCTTTTTAAAAAAAATGTAAGTCTAACAGTGCAGTACAATTATTTGCATAGCCCATTTTAGGTACTTGGCAGGAAGGGAAAAAACCCCAAAGGTGAGCAGATAGGATAGCAAGAGACACAGAGCTTGTAGGCCTGGTAAAGCTTATATCTACCCTGCTAAATAAAAGTAAATGCAAGGTATGCAAATACTTCTGAGAAGCCCACAAATAAATGACAATGGAAACAAATATCTTGTTTGCTTGTTTCCAGAATTTGGTCATCAAAGGTATATTGCCCCTGAATAAGGAGGTTTCACATCTAGCTGACATACCTCTGACAGGCTTATCACTCATGCATTTCTCCCTAATCCATTTCCAAAATCATCTGTCCCACTGACCATGCTCCCTGGGAATTCTACAAGCTGTAGTCCAATAAAGTAACCTTTTCAGCCTCTGCACTTCCTGAAACAATGGATTCTACAAATGCTTTCTTATCTTTGTCTTCAGTCTAATGCCAATCCACATCAGGGCTTTCCTTTAAAAATGGATGGAATATTTTTATAATTAGCAGAAATTCTTATCAGGTGCACCACTTCACCTTATGGTCTCCTTCTCACTTTGAAGAAACTCCTCTGCAAAGAGTGGCAAGGGAAGGGAAGAGTGGCAAGGGAAGCTATCCCTATGGTAGCTGGTTCAAGAATAAGCTCAACCAAATACTAACAACAGAGTTGGAGAAATGTGCAACAGACATCTTGTTGTCATGTGCCTTCAAGTCATTTCCAACTTATAGTGACCATAAGGTGAACCTATTCAGTGGCATCATTAGGGTGGTATGGGATGTGGATCACACTGGGTGCGACCTTCGAGGAGGGGTGACACCCAGTCAGGCCCTCTTCCTGCTGTGAGTACTCTGCTGCTGTGCTTGCCTCCTCTTTCTCCTGGCTCTCTCCATGAGGAGGAAGCCAAGTCAGCAGAAAAGGAGGAAGGGCAGCACCCTGTCCTTTCGTACCCTTCCACTGCCTCACTTGCCCAGCCCCCTGGCAGCCCTAGGCAGGTGGCAGGTGGATGAGTCAGTGAGGCAGAAGGAGAGGATGGAGCGAGGGCAAGATAGGGTGCCACTGCCCAGCAGCTCTTTCTGGATCTGGTTGGGTACCAGCTAGGGAGGTGGGACAGGCAAGAGAGGAAGGAAGGAAGCAAGGAAGCCATGGTGGTGATGAAGGAGAAGAAATGAGTGGGTCCTTTTTGGCTTTGCTGCCAGTAGGTTTTCTCTTCAGGTGGAGAAGGAGAAGGGGTAGATACACCCATTTTGTCCTCCTCACACCCTCATATGCCTGGCCACCCTCCAGTAGCCCTGGGTGGCTGAGTGAGGAGCTGGAAGATCACCATTGCTGCTCCTCTTGGCAGCAACCCCCCTACACACACCACTGAACCTATTGTGAGGTTTTCTGAAGCTGAGAGTGTGAGACTCACTCAAAGACACCCAGTGAATTTCAGTGGCTGAACTAGCAGAGAACCAAGCTTGATCTCCAGAGTTGGAACCCAATGCTCACACCACTACAGCATGCTGGCTCCCAACAGACACCCTACCCCTTTCCAAAGCTTGGTGTAAGAGCACCCTGAATTAGGAAGTGAAAAAACTTTTCAACACATCCATTTATTAAAGTTGGATGCAATTGCAATACGAAACTGAGAGCAGATGCTTAACATCGTTTTATCAAAATGGACAGATATGCTGAACTGCTGCAATGCCCTTGGCTTTAGTGACACAGTATAAATTGAATGTGACAGTCTCTCTCTCCCCCTACCCCGGTACAAACACAGCCCCATTTCTTCCAGTCATTTATAACCCCCATTGCCATGATTCTAGTGTGTTCCTTTTTTTCAGAATTTATTTCAAATAATGCCCTTGGTTTTTCTATTTGTTTTAGGCATTGGTTGTTTTTAGAGGAATTGCTGCCCTCTGCTGGCCAAAGAAAACAGCTGCTATTTTCACAGAACCCATCAAAACTTACCAAGGAAAAAAATACTTATGCAATTATATTGAAACAACTGAAGGATGCAGATGCTTTCCTGACTCAGAGGCAAACATCCCTCCCTCCCTTGGATAATAGTATTAGATCCAAACAGTATGTCAGAGTCACCCAAAATCAAGTCTACAAATAATACAGTTCGTTCTAGAAAAACAACTTGTTTAACCATTGGTTGTGTAAACCACAATCTAGTCTGAAAGCATTCCAAGCACAGCGTGTTCTGAAATAAAGAACAATAAGACCTTTCAACTTAATTTCAGTAACTACAGTAAAACAAAATTTGAACAGATCACTGCAGGAAAAATACTTATTTTAGAGACTGAAGCATGGAACAATCTATACAAAAATAGTATGATGTGCCCAGTTTTAAAAGGAACAGAATATTAAGACCCAGGAAAGCAATAAATGCTCAACGAGTGGTTCCTATGAAATGGAAGAAATGAGTTAATGGAGGGCAGCATGCCTATAAAGGTTAATAGTCATTAGGGCTGGGTATACAAAGAGAATTAGGTTGGGAAGATGATTTGCTAAAACAACAACAACAACAAAATTTAAACAGATCCATTCAGTTAACCAATTAAGAAGCTGCCTGATTCAACTTAGGTCCAAAAAATGATAGTTAACTAGTTAACTACCTTTACATCTCCCAGTGATTATCATAGGAAAGAAACAGAAGTTTTTAATTTGTCAGAATTGGACGAAATATGATTATTTGTTGAATTTATATCCCACCTTTCTCCCAAGATGGAATTCAAGGTGGCTAGGTTAAGGCAGGATCTTGCTGTGAACATTTCAGTTTGCACAATGGTAGGGGAGGCAATTAGACCTGCCTAAATTCAGGCAGACAGATGAAGAGGTTCTTGTGCTATGTACTTTGACATTTTGCTCAGTAAATGGGAACCAATAGCGTTAAAAAATATTTCTAAGCTGACCTGGATGGAATTTGCAGAGATAGTTGTCCCTGCTGAGTAGATCAAGTTTACCCTATTTCATGGGATTTAAAATAAAAGAATACACTCATTCCACTAATGCAGGATTGTTCAACGAGTGTGTCCTGGAACCCTGTGGTCCAGGAGAGATCATGATTTTTTAAAAAAACAAAAAAATTCAACTGTAGATATGATATTTTGCAGGGGTTCCCTGAGAACTTATAATTATTTCAAGGATTCCCCTGGGGTAAAAAGGCTGAGAAGGGATATCCTAGTATGCATTGTTGTTGGGCGGGGGGGCAACTGTTCCAAAAAGACATACAGTATAAAAGTCACCCTAGTTAAGAAACCTTGCAGGTATCAGAAATGTGGATTCAAAGCATTTCCCCTCTGTACAAGAAGAGTATTCCAATTTTGGAGGTGTAGATGGGAAGTGATTTGTTTCTTCTTATCAAACAACACATGCCATAGAAGGGTCCATAGGCAAGAAACCTGCAAAGTTTCAGAAGGTCATGTTAGAGATGTGAAACTAGGGTTATTTTTGTCTCTCCCCTCCCTGAACCCTTTTTGTCATGGACAAAATGGGGGAAAATAATTTCATATATTTTGTTTTATAATGGTGAATACAATACTTTTCAAGCAAGATATGACTATCTTTATGCCCTCCCTTCATTATTTCTACAAACTATGGAACAGGCAGACATTTAGGTAAAGAGCCAGCATGGTGTAGTAGTTTTGACCATCGGACTAGGACTCTGAAGACCAGGGTTCAAATATCTGCTTGGCCATGGAAACTTACTGAGTGGCCTTGGGTAAGTCACACTCTCTCAGCTTTAGAAGAAGGCAAAGGCAAATCCCTCTGAACAAATCTTGCCATGAAAACTCTGTAATGAACTCACTTTAGGGTCACCATAAGTAGTAAATGACTTGAAGGCACACTACAGCAACAAGATATTTATGTAAGAAAATGTACAATATTATTGTTCTTTCTTCCTTTTTTTCTTCCTTCCTATTGTCTTTATTCTTTTTTCATTTCTTTTTATGGG